TAAATGTAAACATTAGAGCGATCAGTGATCACATGTGTCGCCTCATGATAGCCAATTGCATGTTTCAGCAACTGTGTAGCAGGAGACACAAAAGTCATTAACAGGGGAAAATGCATTGTTTTTTTTTCCAAGGGTCATAACTCAGCCAAAAATAATTCAACTGGCTGTGTAAATGTGACAAAATAAGGCTACAACTTCTGCAATCTCAATTACTTTACCTTAAAACATCAATGGCACCTTCAAATAAGTTCTAACAAAAAGGACTTGATGACATAATATTTATCTTTGCACTTCATTGTATTCAAATGTTTTAAAATATTACAGGCATGTACATGTATTAGCAAAAATTAAACAATGAGAGTCCCTACGAAAATTTATACATATAGTTGACAATTTGGACACATTGCCAACTCAATCCTTTACCAAACAAACTTACCTAACACAGTGTACTTGCAAAAATAGATTTGTACAGTATTTTTTACCAGTGCCTTGTCCTGTTTCTATGCAAAAATAACTTTTGTGATTTCATATTGTAAACAGTCACAATCCCTTTGCACTTTCCCTACTGTTGTTCTTGTGAAAATAAACAATTTCAAAACAAGGCTCTATGCAATCATAAGAACTTTGTAAACTCAGTTTTAGATGTTGCTAATCAAATGTTATTTCCTGTTTTGACATGAAATCTTAAAATGAAGAAGTCAACAACAACAGGTGAAATTTTATGAAAACAAAAAACATCAATAACATGTTGGAACTTGGACTAACTCATTTGTTACATTCAAAAATCTTCGCTTCCTGATGTATTATTCATCATTAACTTCTTTTCATATAAAACATTTTTCTTTTATGGTAGTGACAATCCAATAAACCTCTTTTTCTCCATTTTTTTTGAAGTCAAAATATTCAGAAATATGCCATTTTCCAGTCATAACTATATAATACATGTGAACTTTTTTTGATGATCAAGTGGGAGATTTTTCTTAAACAAGAGGGCCATGATGGCCCTGAGGTCGCTCACCTGTATATAGGCCCCCGAACAAACTTGGAAGACACCCATTAGAAGATGTTTCATGATGTTAAGTTTTTACTACACACATATAATGAAAAACAATGACCTCCCCAAGCCCCCCCCCCCCCCACAGCAGGGCCAATTTTAACCCAAGGGCTTTTATTTGAAAAAACTTGGTAGACACCCATAAGAACATGTTTAATGCTAAACATCTAAGCTCTAGCTCATTGGGTTTTTTTAAAAGAAGATTTTTTAAGTTTTTACTATACACATATATTTAAAAACAATGACACCCCTGGGACAGGGCCAGTTTTGACCCCAGGGCTTTTATTAGAACAAACTTTGTAGACACTTACTAGAAGATGTTTCATGCTTAATATCTAAACTCTAGCTATTTGGTTTTTTTTCAAAGAAGATTTTTAAGTTTTTGTTATACACATAAAAGGAAAATCAATGACCCCCGGGGCGGGGACAATTTTGACCCCAGGGCTTTCATTTGAACAAACTTTGTAGACACTCACTAGAAGATGATTCATGCTTAATATCTTAACTCTAGCTATTTGGGTTTTTTCAAAGAAGATTTTTTAAGTTTTTGCTATACACATATAAGGAAAATTAAGGCCACCCCCCGGCAGGGCCAATTTTGACCCCAGGGCTTTTATTTGAACAAACTTGGTAGACACCCATTAGAACATGTTTCATGCTAAATATCTTAGCTCTAGCTCTTTGAGTTCTTTAAAAGAAGATTTTTTAACTTTTTACTATATGCATATAGGGAAAATTAATGACCCCCTGGGGCTGGGCCAATTTTGACCCCAGGACTTTTATTTGAACAAACCTGGTAGACACTCATTAGAAGATGTTTCATGCTAAATATCTTAGCTCTAGCTCTTTGGGTTCTTTAAAAGAAGGTTTTTTAATTTTTTACTTTATGCATATAGGGAAAATCAATGACCCCCTGGGGTGGGGCCAATTTTAACCCCAGGGCTTTTATTTGGACAAACTTGGTAGACACTCACTAGAAGATGTTGCTTGCCAAATATCTAAGCTCTAGCTCTTTGGGTTTTTTAAAGTTTTTTCTTTCGGTTGCCATGGCAACCAGAGTTCTGCATGGAATTAAATTCTTTGAACAATTTTTAAAGGTGACCACCAAAGGAACATTCCTGTGAAGTTTGGATGAAATTGGCTTAGTGGTTTATGAGGAGATGTCATTTAAAGTAAAAGTTTACGGACAGACGCCGGACGAAAAGAGATCACAAAAGCTCACCCTGTCACTTTGTGACAGGTGAGCTAAAAAGAGAGAGATTTTAAAATTTGCAATAAACAAAGAAGAAAGTTCTGATATCAAAAAGTGGGAGATTTCTTTAATTTGTGAAAATACCCTTTATTTTAAGAAAAATCTCTGAAAATATGGCTACAGAAAGTGGGAGTCTCCTGCTAAAAGTGGGAGAGTTCACACTGTATGCTATATACATGTACTATCTGGGCATCTATAACTCTACCTCATTAATAATATCTTACATGGACTTTCTTTCAATCTAGCAAGAACCATTCGTCATTTTGAGGGAAAATTTCAGAATATGTACAACTTTTTATTTTTAGTGTACTGTTATAGTTTCAAAAAATTTACTCATTGGCCAGTTACCAGACTGAGCTTCTGTTGCTATTTGTCAAGTAAATGATTTGTTTTTGTAAGAGGTTTTTACTACTTTGTTTATTATTTTACTACTAATTTTCACATTCAGATACTTTCTTCAGGTGAAAATCATCTGCCATTCCCTAATACCATTATTTAAAATGTCATATTAGTGATGTTCGTCCTTTCCTAAGCAGGAATAATACATTTGTTTCAGAGGCATAATATACCTTTATTAAAGCATTATTTTTCATGAGGGCAAATGACGGTTGATAAAATAAGACAATCTTGTTGACAGCTTTTTCAAAATAATGTAGTAAATCATTTTTACCGAAGCACAATATAAAAACACTTTTGTAATGAATATTAAAAAAAGTTCAATTAATCAGACACCCTGACTTCTACTAATTAGTAAAATGGTTCTTTAGCTATAACAATGAAGCAGAAGCTTTTGTCTTGTGGAAGAGCTGATCATAATAACGTGGTTAAAGTTGCAGCAAATAATATTCAAATGCTTTCTGATGTACTCATAAGCATGCAGTGCAGATATTTAAAAAATCCACTTTAGTTTCCTATAATTATTATGGGCAGATTTTTTTTCAGTCTGAACAATGGTGAAGTACTTACACTACTTAGGAATGTTTACATAACAGAATTTATTTATATCTTGCTTATGACATAATACATAACAATATAATGGTAATAACATGTATCTTTTCCATTGCATTGGTCTTTTTTTATCACATACTGTAAATAATAGCAATCCCCTGTCCATCCCCTGCCGTTCTTTGTGAGAAGAAATAAGTCAAAAACACTAACAAAAACATCACAACATCAAAAGTACATTTTTTTCTCAGAAATTTTTTTCTATAACTTATCAAAGAAATATTAGGATTGCGTTAGTAGAAAGATGAATGGTATCACAAATTTACAACTACATGTAAATTAACATCTTTATTTAACCTGAAGCAAATTAGGACTGAATGATCGAAGAATAACTTCAATACTTCAATTTTATCCTTTGTGACAGTGTCACTACTGTGTCATGTTTTTGTTTTTTTTAATTTCTAAAAGGGCATACCATATAAAAGACTAGTGAAATAAGCAAAGTTAAGTAATGACATAAACCTTTGCTATAATATAAAAGTGGTAAAATATATGAAATTTTGAAGCCTCAATACGCTATTTGGAATCTGTGGTCGTATATAATGTCTCAGATTTATTGTAGGGAAGCATTTCTCTCTCATCTGCCCATGCACCAGCCCAAGAGTATTGCTTATATTTCTATAAATTTGGAATTGTCATGTATGTATTTACGTATGTACATACATATGTATGATTGTTGTATGTATTGTACCTATGTATGTACATAATGTATGTTAGTGTGTTGCATTGGTGAGATGGTGACTCTGGCTTTTAAGTCATAACTTTTCTTAGGAAACTTATATCATACATTGTTGTGCAACACAATGGTTTGCATCTTTCAGGCCTAGAATTTCGGTATTTATCAAACTGTTCCACAAGTTTCTGGATCTTTAATTTCTTTTTCAAACCAGTTCAACTAAGATTTTAAATTCTAAAGGTTTGTATGATAAGTTGACGAGTTGAGATTTATTGAAATGTAATTAATTTGGTTTTAAAAGCAGGCACTCAGTTAGGATGAGGGAGGAGGGGGTTATAAGTTTGATCTATCCGACCTAAATCTCAAATATCTGTGTTACAAACAAGCTATTGTGGTAAAATTGCAAACATTTAGGTTATATATTATCACAGCTGCCCTCTATGTTTGTCACAGCTAAATTTTGCATTAAATCACATTGAAAACAAGGATTATTAATGTCAAATGTACATCTATATTTGTGCTCCGTATTATAATAAATATAGAAGGGATTAAGTAACCATGTCATAATATGACGTATGACACATTCTCTAGCCAGCCAATGAAAATGCAGGTTATGTTCTAAGTCAGTCAGAACATATTAAGTAAATCTTATTAAGGCAAGGCTTGCTCACTCACTCTGAAAACCTTTAATCAATAAGGTTTACTTAATATGTTCTTACAATAACTAAACAGTACATCATGTACAGTTAAAAGTACTGAACTGTCAAATATTAGACTACAAGTACAGTTATAAGAATAAAGGTACTGTCATTGAGGAATAAGAGCTGTCAGAGGTAACATTACTCGCTCAACTTATCAACATTGGATGCATTAAAGAAAGACAAATTTATGAAAAACAATCAATTATAATACAACATTTCTTTATCAAATATCAAAACTGAACTATATGATTTCCATTTTACTAATATTTTTTGTTGTTTATAAAGGGTATATTATACAACAGGCATATTTACCTGAAAGCTCCTGTTATATGATAGTTATCTCCTGCACCAAGCGGATCCTGTATTCCTTCACTTACACACTTAGCACCTGTGCGGTAGATGTCATTTACTGTAATATAATATTTATTGCGTATTTGAATTTCACTGGTTGCCCATATGGGCGAGTCCTCCAGACGAGTATTAGTCATTTTATATTTTGAAGAATAGTTCATAATAGAGATTCAGAAGTATGCCACAATTCCAGAAGCTTCTCCCTCGATTACAGACTCATCTGAAAGACTGATTAGAAATTTTAGTAGGTCAGCTCAGGAATAGAAAAATTACAAGTCTTGCACTCTAAAAGATTGAGCTATGCTGGCTGGCTAATGTAATATTTATTGTTTTGGTGTAACGTATTCAAGTGACATTCAGCCCATCTGAGTGTCAACCAGTCAGTGGATAGGTAAATACATCAAAAAGCTTGACATTTTTCAATAATTGCATTAAATTTTATATTTCGATATGAAAAAATAATCAACAATTCATGTGATCAACGAAAATTTCTAGAAATTCATTTAGAAATATCTTTATCGTTCGAATTCTAAAAAATGGGGAGTCCTCAGAAGTATTAGTCTTTTTATTGTTTGAAAATTATTCATCAATAAATTATTGTGTCAATCCCATTTTAATAGTTAATCTTTTGAAAAATATTACTAATTCAACAGAACTTGACAGCAAAAAAATGTGCATAATGTCAATTTAGAATCATAACAAACATTGTCCATGTCATATAAAGCACCTGGCAACAATGTAGAACCCTCATACCCATCCTCCCTGAATGTGGCCAATACACACTTGCAATCTAATGCTTACAAATGAAAACACAATTTCAAATTTTTTACATAAATGTCTCTAAAATATTATGTGTACAGCATGATACATTTGTAACACTATCATCCTGATGGCATTTTCTGAAATTTCTTTCCTCAGGTTTCTCTAAACATTCTAATATATGTTTATGTTTGTTTCTTTGGTTTTAAGGTCAATTTTAACATATTTTTAGTGAAATCTCAACAGTTGGTCCATCAAAATGCTTTTATGAATAACTCTCCCACATGACCTGGATAACTCTCCAACATGACCTGGATAACTCACCCACATGACCTGGATAACTCTCCCACATGACCTGGATAACTCTCCCACATGACCTGGATAACTCTCCCACATGACCTGAATAACTCTCCTACATGACCTGAATAACTCTGGATAACTCTCCACATGACCTTGATAACTCTCCCACATGACCTGGATAACTCTCCCACATGACCTGGATAACTCACCCACATGACCTGGATAACTCACCCACATGACCTGGATAACTCTCCACATGACCTTGATAACTCTCCCACATGACCTGGATAACTCTCCCACATGACCTGGATAACTCTCCCACATGACCTGAATAACTCTCCTATGGATAACTCTCCACATGACCTGGATAACTCTCCACATGACCTTGATAACTCTCCCACATGACCATGATAACTCTCCCACATGACCTGGATAACTCTCCCACATGAACTGAATAACTCCCCCACATGACCTGGATAACTCTCCCATATGACCTGGATAACTCTCCCATGTGACCTGGATAACTGGATAACTCCCCCACATGACCTGGATAACTCTCCCACATGACCTGAATAACTCTCCTACATGACCTGAATAACTCCCCCACATGACCTGGATAACTCTCCCATATGACCTGGATAACTCTCCCACGTGACCTGGATAACTCTCCCACATGACCTGGATAACTCTCCCACATGACCTGGATAACTCTCCCACATGACCTGGATAACTCTCCCACATGACCTGGATAACTCTCCCAAAATAACCTAGTAGAAATCCTGCATGATTTCTAAAGATCAATTGTCAACTGAAAATTCTGCTCTACCCAAGGATTGAATCAGTGACCAGTGATTACAAAATAATGCTCTCCCTTTTGAGCTAAGGGAGACAGCCCTTACTTAGGTTAAAATATCTTAACAAGTATAGATTGTAGATATGTACATTGATGATTTCAACACCTGTTAATTCACATATAATACTTTGATAATGAGCTTACTTAAAAACTCAAGTATTGAAAAAATATAATGCCTAAATGCTTTATTACTTAATATGATCAGGAATGTATTACTATAATTATCACAAGTGTTGAATATGCTGCTAACATACTGTATAATATATTGTCAATATCCTTTTCAATCTTAATAGAAAATCACAGGTTTTGCTTATTCCATGTATATAAGGATTAATGACCAAATACAAATTTTCTCATGCCAATTCTAAGTGGTAACTGCTTTATTATGCACCATTAATAAGGCAATTACAACAAATAAATTAGGCAATTCTCTGAAATTAATAATAATTGAATGAACAAGAGCTTTTTACAAGACCATATGATGGTCATTAGTAATAATTCAAAGTTTCAAAGCAATATCTCGATGATTTTAATGAAAAAGGGAAAGCAGTACAAAGAACTTATCCTATGTGTGACACTGACATGGAAAAGGACAAAAGATGATGATATTCAGGTCAACAGGATAGCTCTCCTTATTCTTCAAATTAATTGGCTATAAACTAATATTCATATTGAATACAAACAAGATATATATGTCAGTGATAACTGATAATGAAGGAATCAGATGTTAACAATAGATGTATTAATGGATGTGAATTCAAACTGTAAAATTATGACAATAGTCGGACAAAATCTAGTATAGGTCACCTTTACAATTAGGTCAAATCAACAACTGACAGGAGTTCATTTAGTACATATGAGCCGCGTCACGACAAAACCAACATAATGGGTTTGCGACCAGCATGGATCCAAACCAGCCTGCGCATCCGCGCAGTCTGATCAGGATCCATGCTGTTCGCTATCAGTTTCTTTACTTGTTATAGGGTCTGTAAGCAAACAGCATGGATCCTGTTCAGACTGCGCAGATTTTTCTGGATCCATGCTGGTCGCAAACCCATTATGTTGGTTTTGTCATGATGCGGCTCATATTATGTCAAAATCATTCCTTGAATTATTAAAGGCATACAATTTTCAATATTGTTTCAGCTTACAGAACAGCCGTGGTTCTACTCAAGTGCCCATCGTTTATGCCTAGAATAATGCACGGAAGGGTACATGAGGTCTTCCTCCACCAGTAAAACTGGAAAGTTTCCATATGACCTTTACTTTGTTGTCTGACGTAAAACCCAACAAAAAATATATATATACAGTTTAAGTTGGTGAAGAAACATTCCACAGTGTAAAACAGATTTCAAGATTTTATATGGAAAATAAAGATCATAGTTTGTACTGAAATCAGAAAATAATTAAAGTGACTTTATAACGTTGGTGTCATACATAAAACCTAATCTCTTACCTTTTGTATTGTTTTCAGTGTTTTCAAGATGATCTGTAGAATGTGTAACCAGAGTGTTATTTGATTCATTTATATGTACATCTAAACTTTTATCTTTTCTAGCCTTTTTGGATACATTTTCAGTCTTGTCAAGTTCATCATTTTCTTGATTTCTTTTACAATTCTCTCTTTCATTGTCTAATTGTTCTAAAGTGTTATCATCAACATCAGTTCCTTTCAGATTGTCACCAAACCTTTGCTGATTTTCAACTTGTTCACTATTTCTAGAATCATTCAATTGTAATCTTACTTTATCAACTTGGTTCTCTTCTAATTCATCTGCCTTCTCACTGACATTCTTGACATAGTCTATGTTTATATCTGTCACATCAGTTCTAGTGGGTGAATCTCTACATTTCAAGTCTTCATGTTTAGTAACCCTCTGAACAACAACATTACCAACATCAGCTTCATCACTGTTACCTTCTCCAGTATTTACCTCTTCTTTTGGAAATATGGAGGCATCACCACCTTAAAAATATGTGCACATTTTTATTCAAATATTTTAAAATTCAAAAACATTGTTTAGACAACAAAGCAGAAATACCTATGATAAGTCAGCCAATTTCAAAAATACAAAAAAAAAAAAAAATCCCAAACAAAACAAGAGGGCCAAGATGTCCCTAGATCTAGATCACTCACCTGACCCATCAAACTCATCCGCGCAATTACTAAGACAAGCATCCTGACCAGGTTTGATGACAATTGAGTCTAAAATGTGACTACTAGAGTATTCACAAGGTTTTTCCATATTTGGGTGTTGTGACCTAGTTTTTGACTCCAGGTGACTCATATTCCAACTTGACCCTAATCATCAATCATCAAACCAAACTTGCAGACCAATTTTCAGGATATTTAAAGAATCAAAACAGTAGCCACTAGTGTTAACAAGATTTTTCTACTTTTAGCTCCTGTGACCTAGTTTTTCATCCGAGATAACCCATGTTCGAACTGATATGAGCAATTACCAAGACAAGCATCTTGACAAAGTTTGATGATTATTGAGGCAAAAATGTGACCACTAGAATGTTAATGAACAAATGTGGACAGACAACGGATATTCAATGATCCTAAAACCTCACCCTGCGCTAACTCAAGTGAACTAAAAACCTTACAAAAAGCAACTTAACACCTTCAAAATATTCAATAAATCAATAATTCTGATTGGCCAATAATGGTCACTTTCCATTATCTAAATTATTTTTGTATTAACTTAACTTTTACTATATAAATCATTGAAATTCAATAAATACATATTGGACTAAAATTAATAAAAAAGCTTTAAAATATAACTTGAGATATTAAGGTATTTTACATCAGTATTACATTGTTTTTTGTTCATCCAGCTATAAAAGTAATCATTTGAGTGCTAGCAGCTATATGACAAAAGACTTATGTCACAAGTACAATGTACATCACGTGGCCAGCATACACAACTGGAGCTCATCTGATGTATGGTCATATGTCGATTTTAATCATATAATCTATGTCCGTCAATCGTACAATTTTGTTTGGTGGTGTCATATCAAACATGGCATATTTCCATTATTGTACAACAGTTGTGTAGACAGGATGGGGCACTGATGCCTTATTAAATCCTTATATTTATAATACTGCTAATTCTGATATTGAAATCCCTCAAGTTACTAATGGACTGTTCTCAATTTAATGCTGGACATGTCTATAACATAATTTCAGGAGGTTAATAGTGCTTCTTTAATATAACCTTTCCACCTATCCCCTACTTAGATCACATCAAAATGGAAATGACAAAATAGACAGACTTTCAATATAGATTAGAATACATACAGGGAATGTGTGATAAAAGGTAATGGATTATGGAGAGAGAGAGAGGCTATAGTACATACAGGGAGTGTGTGATGTATACATATGGAAGCTAATATTCTCCTGGAAGTGACACCTGTTATCTGCAGCTTTCTTCAATAATGTATTACCATCACAGTTGTATAACTTCTGTATCTCACTATACAAAAACCTGAAATACACCAATACTTTCTAAGAGTGCACATGTTAAGTCAGTTAAGTGAAGCAAATATGTCATCTAACACCAAGATATAATATTAACATGTCTGCCAACATTAAATCAACAATCTATCAAGTGAGGCTAGCCTAATGATCTATCAAGTGAGGCTAGCCTATTGATCTACCAGTGAGGGTAGCCTATTGATCTATCAAGTTAGGCTAGCCTATTGATCTATCAAATGAGGCCTGCCTATTGATCTATCAAGTGATGCTAGCCTACTGATCTATCAAGTGAGGCTAGCCTATTGATCTATCAAGTGAGGCTAGCCTATTGATCTATCAAGTGAGGCTAGCCTATTGATCTATCAAGTGAGGCTAGCCTATTGATCTATCAAGTGAGGCTAGCCTATTGATCTATCAAATGAGGCTAGCCTATTGATCTATCCAGTGAGGATAGCCTATTGATCTATCAAGTGAGGCTAGCATATTGATCTATCAAGTGAGGCTAGCCTTTTGATCCAAAACCTGATTGGATTATAATACATAAACACTATGAAAATTCTATAAAATATTGATAGCAGCAGGAAGAATATGTTGAACTATTTACTTAACTTATATAATTTAAAAAAGTTGACAACAGAGATTTTAAGTAAGTCTCTGGTTTCATAAAAAACAAAATTGTAAATATCATAAACAAAAAGTACCTAAGAAATGACCTTCTAGCAAGGACCTCTGCATGGCTGTCGTTCAATATCTCACCTGCAAAATAAAAATGTTTTTTTTTTTCAATTATATTTTTGAAAAATGAATGTCAACAAATGTGATTAAATAAGAAAGACACTACAAAAAAATAAAGGTTAAAAGGAAAGGCAATGCCAAAACAAAATTTATAACTCTAGAAGAAGTATAATTTCAACAATAAATTAACTTTAAGCATGTTTTTAAGGCTTTATGACAAAAACAAGTGACATTTGAGTGTGACTTTACTCATACATGTAGCATAATAAAATATAAAATTATGAATTAGGTACAGGTACATTAATCTGGAATTTGTATTTGACTCAAGTGGATTTGCAAAGCCAGGACTGCATGAGATATGGAAGCACCAAGTATTATCCATTTTATTAATTTAAAAATATTGAAGAGTCAATTACACTGTAATAATAATATTGTCATCCTAGCACAATAACTGGTTAACTCCTATTAAATTTAGAAGAACTTAATCCATTATTGCACTAAGGTGACAATATCAATCTTCTATAAGGCCCTCAACAAGGAACAATACAAATTAAACATATTTGAAATATCAAAATACATAAATTTTACATAGCTTATATGAGATGTTAAAGAAAGCGTGGAATTGACAATAACAGAACTCTAAATGGAGATTCTCAAGAAATGAGAAGTTTTGTGCATATGAAAGGAGCAATAAATATAGCAAAGAATGTATTTATATTTATTTAAGTGCAATGAGTTCATAATAAATCAAGACACTTAGTTAACTAATATACAATGTCATATGACTCAAAATAAAAAACCGTTTCTGTAAAACAGTATACTTACAGTATTATTATCTAAAAATCTTTCCAACTTGAAAGATGTGAATTAAAAGTGAGCAAAAATCAGAAACCATACATTACATTGAGATAACAGAATAAAAAGACAAGAGGAAGATAAAGTTAACCTGTTCTGCTCATTTTTGACTTTCCCACACATTTTGAGCCAGTTGCCAAGGAAACAATCTCAAGATCATAACTTGTCTCTGAAATAAAATTTCTAAATATTGAATGTGTAAAAACTGTTATAATATCCAGTATCCAGCTATATGTATTTCCTAGCAATGTCTGCTATAAATAAAGCTTCTCATATACTTTCATCTATGTATTAACATTTAGCATTCTTTAACAATCATAAATTATTGTCCTCAAAAAAAAGAGGTAGCTTAGCGAAAAATATTATACCTCACAACCAAAGGACCAAGGGCTTAAACCCTACATGGGTAATGACCATATTTTATGGTATGACACCAGTCCTGGCCAAGAAGTCATAAAACTTTTTTTCTTCTGAGTTATGTCTTGGATTTCAGGATTTTCATTGGTCTATACACATTCTGTGCTGGTTTCTGACCAACAAAATACATGAGATCCAAGTTTAAGCTCAGAAAAATTCTTTGTAACCTGGGACCTAGGAAGTGAACATCTGGTTAAAAATAAGCTAACAAAATCATTGCAATTTTGACACATATTTACATATATATATATGACTGTTGATTAAAGTTGTAACTGAATGTCTATGTGTACAAAACAATTTTATACACTCGCAAAAAAAAAGAAATAACATCAAATTTGATCATAAAGAACAATCTCGTGTTTTCCTTACTCTTTTTTTTATAAAATAACTCATGCCAATAAACATGGATGTTTTTAAAAAAACATTTTCTGATTATATTACAACATTACTATTATAACCTACATTTGAATAAGTTTTAAAATTGTTTCTTGGGGCAGGTAAGAACACAAACGTGCGTTTATTTATTTCATTAAGCTAGTCACAACTCATTCATACAGACTACAGAGCTAACACATAGAGCAGAGTGCGTATATTTACTAAGCATGCGCAGTTAACATTATAACTAAAGCATCATGGGAAGGTCTGTACTTAGTATGTAAATCAAATACTGTTACAAAAATGGGATTTGAAAATACTTTTAACTTCTCTAGGTGGGCAACACTTCAAATACAAAGTAATGAGTAAAACATTGCTATAAGACAGCAAATTTTCCATATACATTAGGTAAGGAGTTTATTACATGTACATATATCTAACAGATTGAGCTTAATGTAATAATAAAATTACAACTGTAATATTAACAATAGATAATGTCCAGTTATAAAACTTGTATGCACTTTCAATTATTCAAAATTATCCTGATAGCAAATTAAGGTACATTTTTCCATACAAACCTTTCTGTATACACATGACCACACCAGACAGTAGTGTCCATTCTTTTCCTGCCTGTGGTTTTCCTGTCTTTGGTAATCTCTCATATTTCTCTGTACATAACCTGGCAACTTTCTCACTAAAATCTGGATCATGTATCCAATGCATTACTCTGAAAACTATTCAATTATAAATTATAATTATAACCTTCCCATGGGATGACATCATGTACAGACAGCCTTCTCATGGCATATAGAGGGGTAGACAACCTTCTCATGGGATGTAGAGTGGTAGGCAAACTTCCTATGGGATGAGAGGGGTAAGCAAACTTCCCATGGGATGTAGAGGGGAAGGCAAACTTCCCTTGAGGGATGTTGAGGGGTAGGCAACCTTCCCAAGGGATGTAGAGAGGTAGGCAACCTTCCTAAGGGATGTAGAGGGGTAGGCAACCTTCCCAATGGATGTAGAGGGGTAAGCAAACTTTCCAAGGGATGTTGAGGGGTAGGCAAACTTCCCAAGGGATGTAGAGGGGTTGGCAACATTCTCTAGGGATGTAGAGGGGAACGCAACCTTCCCAAGGGATGTTGAGGGGTAGACAACCTCCCCATGGGATGTAGAAGGGTAGGCAAACTTCCCAAGGGATGAGAGGGGTAGGCAACCTTCCCAAGAGATCTAGAGGGGTAGACAACCTTCCCAAGGGATGTAGAGGGGTAGGCAACCTTCCCACGGGATGTAGAAGGGAAGGCAAACTTCTCAAGGAATGTAGAGGGGTAAGCAACATTCCCAAGGGATGTAGAGGGGTATGCAACATTCCAACCTTCACTAGGGATGTAGGGGGTTAGGCATTTTTCCAAAGTGATGTAAAGGGGTCGGCAACCTTCCCAATTGATGTAGAAGGGTTATAATGCATGAAAACAACTGTATGGATTGTTGAAATAGATTCTCATCCGCACCAAAAAAAAAAAGTTTTTAAAGCCTATCTCACAACCATAAAACTAAGCCCTAACCCTCAAAGTAATCTGCATGATTTTGTAGAGACGTGCATATTGAAGAAATAATATTGAGTAAAATAAAGCTGAACATGAAGTGTTGAAGTCAAGCCAAACCACCATGTCCATGTTCAATTGCTTAACTTGTTCAACCACAACACTCCTCCTGTGATTAAAAAGCGTTAAAAATATGAAAATGCAGATTTCTCAAGTCAGTCTCACGAAAACCTGTAACGCATTCTGCTGTTCTGCGTCAGCTTTATAGATCTATATGATTAAATAAATATACCTTGCTAGTTGTCGTCACAAATGGCGTTGTGAAATAAAAGGTACGTAACTCTGTAGTACGCTCGATCTTGATAATGTACGTAGAAACCGAATATCTTAGAATCTAGCTTCGGCACGTCAAAATATTTTGACTATAGACACTGGTGAACGCTGAATAAAATTTTTAGTCGTATTTACATTAAGATACGTTGGTAAATCAGAAACTTATATTACATATATATTTAAATATAACTCTGTGCAGGGACATAGATGATAATAATAATAATAATTATTATTATTATGTTATCTACATCTCTGCTCTGTGGTATTTAAACCTTGCAGATCTAATACATTTTTTTAGAATGACCTTTGTTTAAGTTATGCCATATTGAGTTAAATGAATATTTATTAAGAGTTAATATGAGCACGCTACGAAGAAGATACATGTATGTACGAATGAGCAAGTTATTTGAAATTTTACTCAAAACTACCTGCACCAGATTTTGAAAAAAGGCGATGAAAAAATGACTAAAAGGGTTTTCTGAAAAATAATACAATATGTAGGGCAAGCTTTATAATAATTGAGGGTAATGGACCGTTGAAAATGTAAAGCCCGATTTTTCAAATGTCACGGAATGCTTGTGATAACTCAAACTATGTCCTGGAGTTCATATAATATGATAACTCTTGTAACTGCCAGTCTTGTGCTTAATTACGGCACGTTTTTTGCGTATTATATTATTTAATAATTATGTTTTCAAATCACCATGAAATGCCATACGCTCAGCCTTAAACAAATATTATTATATAATGTTGGTTTTGAGCGTGTTCAAAAGATATTTTTCTAATCAAATTTGTGCGAATTCATATTGACATTATGAAACCGAACGAATGCACTTAATGTTTCTGTGTATACTGTTCGTTAACTATAGTTTTATGTCATAAGTTTCCTTTGAAATGTTAACGCTTAATTTACAGCAACTACAGAGAAATGTATGTCACATAATAGACATGCATATCGTTATTATGATGACAACGTTAAGTTAATATGCGGTATATAGCTTGGTGTGTAAATAATTTTGTCACGTAATTTTTTTCAGGATTCGGCTGTCAGAAAACCACAAATCTTTTAAGAATAGATTGAACATTAAACTGCTTTGGTGTAAGTCTACAAAGAATAAACAGGTGATAGGCTATCTTCGGGAAAACCTGAATCAGCGGTCACCTGTATTCAGCAGTAACATGGCTTAAACCGCCAAGCAAAAATTGTTAAAATTTTTTTTCTCAGTTACATGTTTTAAGCAACCGCCTTTCTTAAGCAGACACTATATAGTTAGGCTTCCCTCAAGAAGCGGCTACGTAATTTGCATCATTTTATGTCATAAACAACAGAGTTTCCACAACTAGGATTATATTGGGGGAATGCCCGAAGGACTCCAACTTTGATAAGAAAAATGTATCAATCTGGAGATTTCTGTACTTAACGTGATGCTACATTGGATCTAATAGAGAAAAGAACAAGGTCGATAAACGGCATAAACCTTACGGTGACTCACATACATGTATATTATTAAAGACTTACTTTCTATTGTCATATCATTGTCATAGAACTTTATACGTTTCTATGACAAAAATTGATACCTTTTAGAGAATAAAATATCCGTTGACTACCTAAAGATGACACTCACCTAATTAAATTTAGATAAAAGCGTATTTTTATCCTGTAAGTCAATGCTCTACATCAAGTATGTTTTCAGTCATTCCAATAAAATGAGAAAATTAAAACAACAAAAACAACAAACAAACACAAAAAACCCAAACAAACACAAAAAACAACACAAGAAACGGAGTTAAGAAAAATATCTGCCGAACTGAAATACGAGCACGTACACTCTTAACCAACGTTATATAATCAAATTTTTGTGCAAATTATAGGCGTACTATGCTTCATAATGATTTACACACTTATTGACTTATAATTGCCGTAATTAAGCACAAGAAACACACTGGCAGTAACAAAAGTTATCATAAGAACTCCAGGACATATTTTGAGGTATCACAAGAACTCAGTGACATTTGAAAAATCGGTTATAAATTTATTAGCCTGGGTTTTATATTTGCAACTCTCCACTATAATTAGGTAATTAAGTGTAGCAATGAAGATCACAAATGAAAAGGCCAATATGTACGAATGAGCAAGTAATTTGGAAATTTTACTAAAAACTACCAGATTTGTTTTTGAAAAGGCGATGAAAAATAGAACAGGTTAGGTTAGAAAGGTTTTTCTGAAACATAATACAATATGTAGGACAAGCTTAATTATCATAGTTTAATTTAGCACCTCAAACTCCCAAATATGAACTCCAAATCATTTGAAAAATCGGGTATAAATCTGTTAGCCGGTGCTTTATGTTTGTAATTTTGCATTAGAATTAGGTAATTATGTATGGCAAGGATAAAGACCAGACAATAACAGGTCAATACTTGTGAATTGGCAAATAATTAGAAAATTTTACTCGTAACTACCAGATTTGAAGCAAGAGGCGATGAAAAATGGCCTATGAATTAGTTTTTGACACAAAATACAAGATGCAAGACAATCTTAATTATTAAAGTTTAATTTAGCACCTAAAACTCATTTTTGAAAGATGAAAATAACCATTTTTGACGAGTGTTTTTGTAATGTATACAGATGTTTTCCGACGAACTCCGTGACAGTTATGACATGAATTTCAAAAGAATTCCATCCTTCGTGTAACAGTTCCTCCCCCGTGGTAACTAGCCTATCTCTCTGTCAGCCGTCCTTTAACTGACTATAATCATTTACGGTAAAGTTTAAGTATTAATAGTGATTGTGTCACAGGGTGAGAAAAATGTTCAGCCTGACCGGGACTCGAACCCGAGACCCACGGAATACCGTACCGCAGCTCTACCGACAGAGCTATCAGGCCGCTTACACACTATCTCCCCTAATAGTGAACAGTTCTGAACCGTGACAATTGTGTAGTTAAAAACAATTTTATTATGTTCATTTGCCTTAGTATTATTTAGCTAAACCCTGTAAGTTATGACATTTGGCATTTCTGAATACTAATTTGAATGATGACGAGTCACACAATATAGATTATTAGACAGTACATGTAGGATACCAGAACTTAAGATACAAACTTGATATACATGCATTTAAAAATTGTGAATTATATATATTCTTTAGAAACATAGCATGTGCCTAAGGCTAGTCCGGGATTAAAATTATATGGATAAAATTTAATCTAATCTTAAAAATATGTTTTAGACAAACATGTTTAAAAGAGCTGCATTTAATAGAACTTGTAAATACAAATTGAACATATGGAGATAGTGTACGTACTGGGCAAATTTTGTTTACTTTTTCTGATTATAGGAAAATATAAGCACTAGGTGCATTTACACGTAATCTTATATTAATAACAATAGCCCGGTTTAAGCCGGGTGATGCTCCCCGAATAGGTTTTAGACACAGGAAAGTACACCTCTTTTAGTTTCAGAGTTATGTCCCTGAAAAAAGCTCAAAGTGCAATAATTCCAAAATTAGGCAAGGCAAAGTAATTGTTCTTTACACTGCACTTCTAATCAATGCGATCTATCAACCTACAAAGTTTCTTGTTGATATCTCTTATGGTTTCCGAGTTTTGTCCCTGACAACTTCAAAATGTAAAAATGAACAAAGGGCAATTACTACAAAATTTGGAAAGGCGGAAATCAAGTTCTTGTGCACTGCACATCTACCAATTGAGATCCATCTACCTACAAAGTTTCATGTTGATATCTCTTGTAGTTTTAGAGTTATTTCCCTGACAAGATTTTTTTAAAAGGGGAGATCATTCAAAAATTGGGCAAAACAGAGTTATGTTTTTTTTTGTACTGCACTTTTACTCAATGAGATCATTCTACCAACAAAGTTTCATGTTGATATATCTTATAATTTTAGAGTAATTTCCCAGACAAAGTTCAAAAAGTAAACATAAACAAAGGGCAATAACTCCAGAATTAGGCAAGGCAGAGTTATGATTCTTGTACACTGCACATCTACCAATTGAGATATATCTACCTACAAAGTTTAATGTTGATATCTCTTATAGTTTTACAGCTATGTCCTGGACAAGATTTTTCTAAAAGGGGAGATAATTCAAAAATGAGGCTAAACAGAGTTATGGTTCTTTTGCACTGCACTTCTACTTAATGAAATCTATCTACCCACAATGTTTCATCTTGATATCTCTTATAGTTTTTGAGTTATGTTCCGGACAAAGTTCAAAGTGTTAAAATTAACAAAGGGCAATAACTCCAAAATTAGGAAAAAATGAGTTATGGTTCTTATGCACTGCACATCTACCCATTGAGATCTATTCACCTACAAAGTTTCATGTTGATATCTCTTATAGTTTTAGAGTTATGTCCCGGACAAGATTTTTCTTTAAGGGGAGATAATTTAAAAACCGGGCAAAATAGAGTTATGGTTCTTTGACACTGCACTCCCCCTTAATGCCCTCTACCACTGTATGAAGTTTAAACAAATTATCTCCAAGGGTTTTCAAGTTATGCTCCGGACAAGACAGCGGACGGACAGACGGACGGTCGGACAGACGGACGGATGGACAGACGGACAAGGCGCCGACTATATGCTCCCCCGAAATTTTTCGGGGAGCATAAAAAGCTGGAGCATATCCGCTATAAGGAAGCAAGGGGAAAAAAATCAATTTTTGGCGATATAAACGAATTTGAAGACTCTGTACAACAGCATATGCCAATGAAGTAAAAGCTCACAATCTTCGACATGTCCTGTATTGCATAGACTTTTTACTCAAACGACATTCCTTTCAATCATGGCGCCTCATGTATATGATTAATAAAGTTATTCCTTGTAAATTTGTCGGAGAACCGTCAAGTAGGAGATTCAGTTCTCTTACAATACCCGATGACAAACTTTATTTCAACCTTCCTGTCAGAAAATGAATATGTGTATGTCGAATGCTCCAGCTTTCTCATCACTTATACAAAGCTAGATGGAACCCCATTTAGTAAAACATTGATTGTGCTGATAATGTAATGACTTTTTAAGAAAAGAGAATGTCATTTGAGTTGAAGTTTACA